TAACATTTATATGATTTTAATCATGAAAAAAAACATTCATATAATTTTTTTGAACTGTTAAACTAACGTATTTATTCTTATCATAATAATTTTTTTAGGAATTTCAAAAACTCTACTTAGTATTTTGTTGTGAATCTATATTCTGATGAGAATTTGAAAAGGTGGAGATAAAAAGGTATTAATATTATAAATAACAAAAAAATTAAGTGTGATAAATATAATTTTTTAAAATAATTTTAAAATCAAAAGATAATTGCAACTGTCCAATCATATCGACTCTAAATCATGGAACCATTAACTAAGACGCAGGAGCCGATCCAAGTTGCAAATTTAGACTATGATATTAAAAAATCCAGAAAAAAAAAAAAAAAAAACTTTTCACAGCTAAATCCCTAAATTTCGATGATAAAAAAATGTTTCTTACAAGGAGTTGGTAGTGATCATCGGATTATCCAAATTCCAATCTTAAGGCCTCACACGAACAGAGGAGACAGAGAAAGAAAATGATAGTAGAAACCAAATTTCCCTATTTATACTTCCACGTGACTTCGCTCGGCACCATCCTCCGGCCGACGGCGTGACTCTGGCTCCTGGGGAAAATCAAGCTTCCACCAACTTTAACTTCGCCGGTGAACTCGTAAGGCGCGTCCTCGTCAATTCTCACGGCGGCAACGCTCTGGCTTCGCCGGACAGACCCCTCGGCGGCAGCGGCAGCGCGAGCGCGGCTCTGCGACGCTGCTCGAATAAGCTCGATGAGGTCTTCGTCGCCGGAGGAAAGCTTTAGGCTGCTGAGACTTCCGCTTCGAGACATGCTTCCGCCGAAGGTGGAGGGATAGCTAATTGGCACCGTCGCGTCGCCGTAATGCATGCGACCGGCGCAGCCGGTCATGCTCTTGATGTACAAGTCGCGGGCACGGCAGAGGGCGCGGTAAGGAGCTCGAAAACATCGGACTAGCAGGTTGCCGGTGCTTGCTTGGGCCTTGCTCATCGCCGGGGAGGTGTAAAAAGACTAACTTTTGGGCAAAGGAGAGATCTTTAGGGTTGGGTGAGGAAGAGAAGAGAAGATTTTGGGATCTGGGGTGTGAAATTAAGACGGGAAAGGTATAGGGGAAGGGTTAGGGTCTTGCCGTCTGAATTTATAGCAGAAAGAAAAGTGGGATTGAGACTTGAGAGAGAGAGAGCGAGAGAGAGCGAGAGAGAGCGAGAAGGGGTTGGGCTAAAGAAAAAATGAGATGGGCACGGGGAGGATGGCGTGTGCGTTTAAGGTAGTTGGTGGGGATAACTGGTTGCTCGCTTGGAAGAAGGCTAAAATTAAAATTGGAAATAAATATTTTATTTTAAATAAAAATGGAAATTAAAAATTTTTAGGGAAAATTATTATTTTTTTATTCCTAAATAAATCTTTATTCTATCATAATTAATTTATTTTTTTATCATGATTAATTTATATTTGTATTATTTCATTAAAAGTTTCTTATTGATAAACATTTCATTATTAACAATTAAATAAGTTTTATTTTATATTAATTTAAAAATTATTTATAACACAATTATGTAAAACTCTCATCGCTTTGCCGAATTTCTCTAACTACATAAATATTCGGTCTTAAACATTATGGTATAAATTAGAAAACTCTTACAAACATCAATTCCTTATAATTCATTTGACATACAAAATGTATATATATAAATATATATATAATATATATATATATTTATATATATATAGTTGCTTAGAATTTAAAAAAGTTAATTATCTCAGTAAATTAAAATAAATTTTATCTTTCAATGTATATTAAAAATAAAATAAAAATAATCGTTGACAAGGTATAAGTAAATTTCTCAATTGAATAAATTTATTCAAGACGCAATAAAAATGTGAAGAGTGTGCTATGTAGTGTGTGATCTTATATGAGTGAGCTCTGTGGGTAGATTATAGCAATAATCACCTGCACACACACACGACTAATGAGAGAGTGGTGTGAGTGATAATATTATACTATATTCAGATCCATATTTACTTATTATTGCTTATATTATAATGCACCACTCTATCTCCGATATTTCCTCACATAATATATTTTTCGCTTCATCCCCATCCAATTATTGGAAACTTAAATCAAATGCTAGATGTATCAAATTGATACATCACCTACATTATGAGGACAATGTGGATCCACCTGACCGTGAGATAGCTCTACACACACATCGATACATTCTAATCAATCACGTCTTATGTGTCTTTTTAAAGGTATTACATATTGCATTAATGGAGCTAACTGTAATGGGACTCTATGAAGAATGTTGAAAGATACCAATATTTTTATTTTTAATTCCAGTTAATGAAAATAGATTCAATTTATGTCAATGAATACTACCAAAAAAAATCTAATAATTAATATATTTAATTATAATGATAATAAATTAATTTTCAATAATACTAATTTCAAAATAATTTAAATTCTTAAAAACTTTATATCAAAAATGAATTTTGATAATGCTCAAAGCTTTTAAATAAAATATATTTTAAAATTTTTGTAACAGATTTTTTTTTTCTTATTTCTATTTCTCAACCACTGCCAGCGCGCCACGCCTTCTCCCTCATTCTTCAACCAACCCACCCGAATGATTAAAATTTTAATTATTAGCCCCATTTTTCTCATCTTCTTAGTTCATTTCTAGCTGGATGAAACTAATATATATGATTCGTGATCATTTAAAATGCATTCTAATTAATCATATTTAAATTAATCTCGATTCAAAT